AAAATAAAAATATTTTAATTTTTATTTTCATACAAAAAATAAAATTATTTTGTAACGAATTATAAACGCACCATTATATGTCATCATTTTTATTTTTTACTTTTAATTTATAATTTTTTTAATTAAATAATTAAACTACTAATAAAAAAATCTGTCAACAATAAATTCTCTATTTTTTCTCTTTTTATTTTTTTTCTTAATCCTTCGTACAACGATTTGTTGGCCTCAGGCCCATCTCCCATCACTCGACCCATTACGTGATGTGCTTTCTTGTGGAGCCCACTGATCTTATTTCCCTGAAGAGGACACGTGTCCTCATTATGCAACGCTACCATATCCGTACCATTGTTGGTGGAGATCCAACAGGCCCAGTTCTGTACCACTTATAGCCTGCGCTTCCACATCTTTTGTGAAGTTCAATGCATAATTAAGGAAATTAATGGGTTTTGCTAATCAATTCAGAAAAATTACCTTTATCATTCTTTTTTTTTTATTTTTCATTTTTTGATTCTTTTGACTTTTATTGACATGAGTGCAGTACTGTAGTCCATTAGTGCGATATTGTTCGTAAATGAGCATTGTGAGTTTGAGTTTTCGTCTCTAAAAAAAATTAAATTCTCGTTAATTGTATCAATTTGAGTTTAAATTTTAAATTTTATTATAATAAATAAATTTTATAAATAGTCACATTTAATTTTTTTATTATAATAAAAATCTCTCACATAAAGTCACATCTCAACTCAAATTAAAAATTTGAATCAACGAACTAAACGGGCCTTCAATTATTCTTGTTAGTGATCTCTAAATTTTGAGGTCATTTTCAATCAGCGAACTAAACGGGCCTAGTCTTTTAAATTTTAAATTGTTCTCACTTAACTTCTTTTGTTGTAATTTTTATTAAAATCAGAGTGAAAAATAAGGAATTAAGTGTGGTCATGTGATTTTTATTTTTTTTTTTAACAAAAATCTAAACCAAAAGACTATATGATTACATTATTCTCTTTTTATTATGTATATTTTTAATAAAAATTGCAATATAATAAATTAAGTGAAAACAATTCAAGTCAGGGGCAAAATAAGAGTTTTATTGAGAAATAAAACTTACCAACAAATTAGTCATTTTTTAAGGATATATATATATATATATATATTACTTTTGTTTCTCAAATTGTAAACTAGCCTTTGCTCCCCTTCCATACTCTAATTAGAAATTTTCTCTTGAGACACATTACCCCGTTCATTTCACTAACTCGAGTTTAAAATTTGAGTTTTGTTATAGTAAAAAACTCTCAGAAACAGTCACATTTAATTTTTTTGTTACAATAAAAAGCTCTCATATAAAATCACATCCCAACTTGAATTACAAACTCGAATCTGCGAACTAAATGGACCCGGACCATTTAAAGTTTTCCTTACACTTTAACAAAAATAATTATAAGGGAAAAAAAGGATAATGATAAAAACTCAAATTGCCTCTTCATCCTTCCTGTTGCAACATGACCTTCGTGGTTTGCGAGATCCTCCCTTTTTGCGTGACAAAACATTCTAAATTTTGGGACAGATTATTCATGAGTTTAAATTTATAACTTTAATTCTTTTATATTGTTTTTTTAAAATTAAAATTTAAAAATTATAATTAAAATCAATGGTTTGAACTTATATATTAATCAAGCCTTTTAGTGTCACTTAATTCTAATACCGTAAAGTACGAAAGATATTAAAAGATTTTCTATTAGTAAGCTATATTTTAATATAAATTGTTACATCAATCGGGCACCACTTACCACCCCTAAAAAAAAAATAAAAAATAAAAAGAATAAGAGGACCCCACCGAGGGGGAAAAAGAAATTGTGAATTGGCGAAGTGATAACGACGAGAGTCGAGTGGTGGGACATGCAAAAAACGTGGCACTCCGGGGCTCCTTCCTTTCGAATTATAAACCCAAAATTTACTGATTTCCGACGCCGCACTCTCGCAAGCCCCACTCCTCACTCACTCACTCTCTCCCTCTTCTTCTCCACACCCCTCAGTCTCACTCAACTTTCTTCTTTCTCTCTCATCAAACTCACAGCCTTAAGCCTACCCTCCCATTAACCATAATTAATATGTAATTAGCATTGATTCAGAGCTCAAGCCTTTTTTTTTTTTTTTTTAGTTTAGTTTTTTACCGACAACCCGTACGAAACCGGAGAAGTTGTTCCCGCTAAAATCCGGGCGGAATGCAACCGGGAGAAGCGGTTTCCCGGTCAGCCCTCGACAAACCCCTTCATCTTCTTACTGAAGATGACATTTCTCAGCTCACCCGCGAAGACTGTCGCCGTTTCCTCATACAGAAAGGTCGTTCTTCATTTTCTCTCTCTCTCTCTCTGTTTCTCTCTCTAAAAATATGTACTTATACATTACACAGGAATGAGAAGGCCGTCGTGGAACAAGTCTCAGGCGATACAGCAGGTGATCTCGCTCAAAGCGCTTCTCGAAACGACGTCGGATTCGAACGCCGACGGCGAACAGGGGAAGCTTCAAAACCTAACGCCTAAACACGTTCGCTTCTTGGCGGTTCTCTAATTATTAAGTAATATTTTGGTAAACATTTTGTTGATTATTTTACTGATTAAATTAAGCGAATTTCGTAGGGCCATTCAGATTCCGATGCTCCCGATACTGAGGCGTCGGTGTTAAATGAAGAATCCGTTCCGAATCCCGATGTTTCCGGGGACAAAATCGCTGACCCTCAAAACGACTCCGTTTCTCCCCGGTAAAACTAAATCCTATATATACACTCGCTTTTGCTTATGTAGTCATCTTTTCCTTTCCTTTTTTTTTTTTAATATATAAATGCTTCGAGTTACTTTTATTATTAGCAAAATGAGATGGGTTTTGGGTAAAAGTGTGATCTTTACTTAAATAATAATAATAACAAAAAAAAAAAAAGATGATGATGATAGTATGTTAGCAAGTGTTGTGAAATTATGGAGTACATTCTTTGCCAGTGGACTCTTTTTTGAAGTTTTTTGGGTTGTTGTTTTGCAACAAAACTTAAAAAAAAGTTTAAATTTTACAATTTTATTTAAATTCACGTTCTTTTATTCAATTTTATTTAATTTTATTCAATTTTATTCAAGTTATAACTTCAACTCAAGTTATAACTCAAATTCAATTTAAAAATTACACTCGTCACACTCCAAAAGACAAGCATTTAATTTTTCTATTTTTCGCTACAAATTGTCACATTTGACCATTAACTTTGGAAAGCTTTGTGGTCATGACTGTTCCAAAATACGAGTCGAGTGTGCCTGCACACGCACTTGTGGATGTCGCCATTGCCGGCATGCTCGTTAAGTACCACTAAATTTCTGTGCCATTTTTGGCATTGTCTTAGCCAACAAATTTCCACTAATTAGAATATACTTTTGTCTCGAGGACTGATCAAGTGGTTTTTAAAATTTGTCCCAGTATTGTGGAAGTAACAAATGAACCAGTAGGACAGATGACAATCTTCTACAGTGGGAAAGTCAATGTTTTTGATGATATCTCAGGGGAAAAGGTAATGAAACATTGTATTTTTCTTTTGGGAAAGAGAGATAAAATTGTAAGAATTATACATGTTACTCTTACTGAGATAATGACATTTCTTACCGAGTAAATATTACATTTCCAGGCTCGCATAATAATGCAGCTTGCTGCAAGTCCTCTCTTTTTGCCTCATGCAGCTCCATCTGAAGTGATCTCGGCGCTATGGCCCTTTCAGAGTCAATTACAGGCTGCTGGCATCAAATTGGTTTCAACTTCTCCGACTGTGATCTCTCAGAAGCTGCAAACAGGTGCATTTCTAAGGCCGTTAAGGATTTAAGTCTTTGCTTTCTTACAAAGGATACTATAGCATTTTAATCTCTAAATTCGTTCAAGGATTGAGTCTGTTCTCTTAGTTAGAATTAGAAAACTCCTGCAATGGCATTTTGAATAGAATATTGTGCTATGTTAGAAATGTATGGAATTGAGGAGTTTATAAAAAGGCCATTCAGTTTTTTAAGTAGGAGTTAAAACCTAGATACATATGTAACTGCCGTGTTATACATCTGAACGTTTTGTTTTCCTTGGTATTACTACTCTGTGGAAGTTGCAGATAAAGATCAGGTCCACAGAGAAGGAAACAACAAATCTCCTGAAGACAATCCTGGTAAAACTTTCCCCTTTTTTTAGTACGCCTTATTCACCTTGTTAATCTTGCTTCTCCTTTTCTTTTCCTCACACTTTCTCTCACAGTTGTATTTTCCTTTCTTTGGCTGAACCATAAAGCAGCTACAAGTAGAAAAGCATCGGTGCAGAGGTTTCTTGAGAAGAAAAAAGACAGGTACCTTAAATGGATGAAATGCACTTCTTGAAAGTCAACTATATCTGCAGGCAAGTTGCTTGTCTTTTTGGTTCTCACACCCCTGTTAGGTGAAGGTTTAAGCACAAGGGGAAGGTAGCAGTGCCGTCTTCTGCTAGCTTGGATGTCTATTTGAACCATGTGGAGGGAGATCAATTACTGACCGCACAGTTGAACCTGAGTGATGCTACCTCTCCCTCTCAACCCCAACCACCTCAGATGCCTACCAGGAGCAACTCGGTTGGAAATAACTATAACAAATAGCAGTCTCCACAAGATGACCAAAAAGGTTACAAGATCGTAACTAATCAGCTTTACTTTTCCGCTTGAAGTGCTATAAACTATGCTATGTTTATTGTGGCGAGCATTTGGCTCAAGTGAACTATTTTTTATTTCCAGATTGTCGAGAGTGCGGAAAATGGGGATCAATAATGTTGCATGGTGGTTAAGGACTTGCATGGAACCATCGCCATCCGGGAAGTGTAGTTGCTCAATACTTCTTAGAGAAGTGGTTTTCTAGAAGAGTGTTGGTTAGTTTTTGTAATTTAAGCTAGATGAATATACAATCATCTCTGATGTGTATTCAAATAGGTCTTATTAGTACAACTATGTTGCTCCTACTGCTACTCAAAACATCTAATTGTACATTAGCTAATTGTGTGGAATCTTCAATTGAAGAACCTAGTCAGTTTTGAAGATGTCCCACAAAACCATTTGCAACAAAAGGCAAATTTTCAGTTTGGGCCGACTCACTTTTGGGCTATACTGAACTGAAGTCCGGACTATGTCATTTTCAGAATCCAACTCATGCTTCTTTTGTTTTTTTGTTTTTTTTGTTTTTTTTTGTTTGTTTTTTGTTTTTTTTTGTAAGAAGCAAAAAAAAGAAAATGAAGCTCAAGTAGACCATATTATGGCATGATCAATGATTTCAGTGCAGGTCATGGTGACACGGTCCAACTCTAACTTGATTTTGGAAATGAAAATATTTCCATTCAATGCAGAATCGGAGGTGGAGTGAAGATGAAGAGTAAATCCGGGCCAGGGACAAAGAATGGATAATGATATTTCTGAATTGAATGGTGACAATTTGGTCAAATCAACTATTAATGATATGAATGTAATTGAACGTATGCTGGCGTTGTGGTCTATTTTGCCATGATGATTGAAATTGGCAATCCAATCCATACCCACCACAAAAATGCCCCTTTAAGATTTGTCTATTTTCCCCCCCAACTATTTTAGTGACCGAAGAATCATTTCTCAACCATGTCCCCACCACATAACCACCAAGCAACAGCGAAACCCACCTCACCACACTCCCCATTTAACTAACACGAATGGGTGCTATCTTATGCCTATGCTAGTTTTTTTTTTTTTTTTTTTTTTTTTTTTTTTTTTTTTTTATTTTTTATATATTCTCGCTTTTGTTCGGCCCTAATGCTTGTTGTGTTTTCTCGATTAATTCTTAGCCCATAACGTAATTTGAAAATCGCCTCTATCGAAAAATGTCAGTTAAATTGGCAAAAAAATTTTGAGGTGAAAGTTAATAACTTGAGACAATCTCATTGTAAATCATTAAAAAGGATTACGGGTTAGAGAAATAATAGTAATTACCTTATGTTATTGAAGATTTTTACCGTGGGATCGTGGGGCACACCACCTGGCTATTGCCCATGGATTCTACAGTGCAAATGATGTAGGTGTAACTGTGTTGGAGATTTGTCAAATATTCTAATTGATTTTCATGATTTGTACATTAGTTGACTTTAGGTGTCAATATCTTGATTGAAGTCAAATTAAAAAACTTAGCATTATTGAGAGAAATCATCACTCACGGACTGCTTGTATCTTTGGAGAATAATCCCTATTTATATCTATGTACAAATTTATTGTAAATCATCAGAGAATAACTGAACGAATGAAATTCTTGATTTGTAGACATAAATAAGTTGTTCAACCACGTAAAAATCTCTGTTCTTTCTTTTCTCCTATTTTGTTTATTTTCTAGAACGGTATTGTCAATAAATTGTTTTAAGATCCAATCCACATATTATAAGACGGTTTTGGAAAAAATGTCACACTAAAGGTAGAAATTCTCTTTTTTGTGTAACCTACAAATAAAAATGATCGAACCCGTTTAATTCGCTGATTCGAGTTTTTAATTCGAGTTGAAATTTGATTTTATGTGAGAGTTTTTTACTGTAGTAAAAAAGTTAAATTTGACTGTTTTTGAAAGTTTTTTACCATATTAAAACTCAAATTCTAAACTCAAATCGGTAAAATTAACGGTTTTTAAAAATAGAGAGAGTATTGCAAACCACAATTTTAAGAAAGGTATTGATGAAATGCCCATATACTACGTTTCTTTTTTCAGATAAGAGAAGAACACGCTTTCTAAGACGTAAACTTGCTTTATTTTGAATTGAAGTTTGGGGCTAGTTGTGTCCCTCTTACGCTCTCCATAGCAGTGTGGTTGACGTTTGTCAATTATTAATGATTTGTTTAGTTCAACAATTTAAAATTATGAAGATTTGAATCTTTTTAATTAGAACTATAAAATTTAAATTGTGATCTGAATTGTTATTTAGATTTGTAAATAAATTGTAATTTGAATTGATAATAAAATCTGAATTATATTTAGATAAAGTGTTGAAAATTATCATTAAAGTTTTATAATAAATATTATAAAACCTTATTATAAATAACATTAAAAAATATGCAATATGGATGGAGATTTGTTTCTCTTTTCATTATGAACATATTAAAAAACCATCTCAATCAGAATTAAAAAGAAAAAGTTATGACATTTTTAAGATTGAAATTGAAAAGAGAGAAAAAGTGAAGTTAGAAACTATTGGACTGTTGACAACCATTCGAACGGTTAGAATTTAGGGGAAAGTGAATTTTAAAATAAACAATTTAATTGTCCTTGAACTATTATTAATGGTTTGAATTATTTTTGAATTTTTATCTCTTAAACACTAATTTAAATTCTAAATAACAATTTGAGTTGTTGAAACAAATAAGAGAACGTTTAGTTTATATATTCAGAATCATGGTCAGAATTATTCTCATTTTATGTGTATTTTTTGTGAGAAAAAATACTGTAAAAAACCATAAATTATGATTTAGAATCAGAAACGAATATAGCAAACAATAAACTTTTGAGGGGAACAAACAAATGTGAGGATTATTGTTACGAGAAA